GGGGGGTGCTTCCCTCTCTGCGTCCCAAACAAAGTGTCACAAAGAGCTCGGCCCGCGGCAGCAGCCGAGGCGGCTGTAACTCCGCTTTTGTTCTCCTGGCCGGGGTAGCAAGAGTCCTGTCCTCCCTATCTCCCAACCCTGCCCCCAGTGGTCCTTCAGGCTTATCTTCCCTGGGAGGGGTCTGGGGTGCTGCTGGTTGAACCTCTCGTGCGGGATCACGGGTCCAGCCCTGCTTGCCAACCGATTTCTGGGAGGGGAATTTTCCCAGGGGCTCTTTTGCCCAACCCCTCTCTCCCCCTCCTGGTCTGAAGATAGATGCTTATGTGGGCATTGGGACTGACTTTTCTCAGGTTAGCTCCAGTTAAGAGAAATTAAGCTACATGTGCCCCTTCCTCAAATCCAGGTCCTCCAGAACTTTCAGAATCAGGGTCAAGTTAGGACATGCCTTGGGTAAGACCCACCATAGTGGAGTGGCAGCAGGTGTAGCTTCTTGTCATCTCCTACTGTACGTTTGGAGTCCATGACTGAGGGTCCATGCCCCAACTTAATAGTGAGGACCTAGGGAAGGAGGCTTTATTTATGGAGAATTCAGCGTACAAGGTGGCAGCCTGCTGTATAGGGTGGGTTTGGAGGAGCTACCTGGTTATGGAGGATTAGAGGCCATGGAGAGGAGACCATAAAAGGGAACTGTTCCATAACTATGATTAAGGTGGTCTTGACCACCTGAAAAACTCCTTTTTCTTTTAATCCTTTCTAGCACAGTGGTTCTCATAATTGTTAGATTTGGGAGGTGTGGGATTCACAACAGTGGAAAAAACATCCAAGTGTTAGAGATGGCCAGAGACAGAGGCCTAGTTATAACTAGACCACAGAGATCCTGAACCCTTGTTTCTTACACTTTGACCCTAGAAAATTTTAAATCACAAGTCCTACGGCACAGTCCGCTTGATTCTCCATTTAGCAGATGCTTCTGTGTACCTGTCCTTGTTTATACTTTTCACCAAACATCCATCTTTCTTTACTCAGTAAGGTTTGATGGTTCACATCCTTGGCCTCACCAGTGTTCCTAGCATGTGAGAGTAGTTGGCCAGTTGCTTTGGAAATATTCGGATTCCTATCTTTGGCCCTATAACCGTGTAGAATCCAAATAAGGGAAAGATAACCTCTGATTCCCAGTGGGGATGAAAAGTAGGTCAGTGCTACTGTCTGGCCAAGTCTTGTGGATGGTGTTTAAGGCCTGAGTATAGAAAACTCGATTATTGTCCATGGGCAGTGCATGCATGACTTAGGTTCCAAGCCAGTTCATAGATTCCCAGTCCTTGGCAGTGCTCTCCCCTTCCTGAGATTGGGGAATGGGAATCTGGCTTGGTGTGGAGATGATTGAGGTAGTCTTCATTGGGCCTGGGAGCTCTCAGTGAATTTTGTTGAATTTAGGCTGGCCTCTGGGAGAATTTTTCCATTGAGAATTCAGTTTCAGTTTGGGTCTTACATACCACTTTCAGTCTTGGAGACTGCTGTGTGTAAAGTGGGTTTTTGGTGTGTGTGTGTGCGCGCTCTCGTGTGTGTGTGTGTGCACGCGCGCGCGCACGTGTGTGTGTGTGCGCACGTGTGTGTGTGTGTGTGTGTGTGTGTGTGTGTGTGTGTGTGTGTGTGTGGGAGAAGCTTTGCTCTGTTCTCACTCTTTTTGGTTCAGAAATGAGGCCATCTTCCCATGAGGCGTTTCGCTTGCTGTCCTACTGGCAGTTTTAGGGGCCCTAGAATTTTCTCAGAATCAGAATATGTGCCCATAGGTTAGTCAGCTATGACCATGCAGTATTCCCAGCCTCCCTCCTCCCCGCTTCCCCGGCCATCTGCTTCCTCTGAATATACCAGATTGGCTGTACACCAGGATGTTCCGGGAATCCCCAGGAGAGCAACAGAATGTGATGGACCCAAATACGATGCCTCAGTAACTCATTCCAGGATGTACAAACTGTAACTGTCAGGACACTCCTTATAGCTAATTAAAAATTTCCTGGTTTCATCTATTTTCTCTTACCTCTGTCTA